GTTCTCTCAAATTGTTATTCTTGTTGCAGGAGTTATGCTGTTAATTGTTTTTACAGTTATTGAACAAGTTACTGCTTTTCGGAGTTCCTAACTGAGCTAGGGGGCGTATCCCACCAAGAGGACAGGAAGTGAAGTCTTGGTTCCTGTTTCCCTGAGGATGGGGTGGGAAACACCCAGCAAGATGTCCTCCTTCATCTTAGAGGAGAAGGGCCCTTCACGGTAAGTATCCAATGGCCCGTTCTTGAAAAAGAGCAATCTCTGTCAAGAGCTCTCTCAGCCCCACCTATCTCACAGGGTGTCTGTTGTGGGGAGGGGGAGGGAAAGGAGTTTGTAAGCCGCTCTGAGACACCTTTGGGTAGTGAAGAGCGGGGTATAAATCCAATCTCCTCCTCCTCTTCTTCTTTTGCATCAGATGAAGTGAGGTCTGACTATATATAAAGTCTATAAAGTGTCGCTGGCCCTCCTGTTTTATTTTGCTGCTGTAGACAATCACCCATCTGCAATCCAGATTGATTGGGCCTGCACTGTGGCTTGACCAGGTGATTTTGTTCCCCTTCCCCATGCTTTCCCACACACATTCCAGAGGGACAAAACCCCTGTTGTTTCTCTTTCTTTAGGAACAAATCCAATCCGAACTCCAGAAACTGAAGAGTGTGAGAGAGAATGTCATGCAAATGCAGCTGCAAGACACGATTACGATGAAAAAGCTCCTGGTGAGGGTTTTTTCTGCTTTTTTTGCAGTAACTGAACAGGAAAATGTCACACACCCATATTAGCTCTGCTGAGAGTTATGACAACCAGGTCTAAGTGGTTAAATTTTGTTTGTACTTTGGGACATGGTAGGTGGGCCTTTAAGGGGGGGAAAGGAATGATTTAGGGAGACCTGGAGGAGGGGAAAAATGTCAGGACAGAGCCTTGATCAGCAACCCATTTTCTTTATAGGAACCACATTTTAAAAGGAAAAAAAAGATTGGAGCACAAAGAAATGTTGGCTTTTCTTATGGACTCATGACTCCATGAGCTGAGGCCACAGCATTTCGCTTATCATTGATCTTTCTTTCCTTTTTTTTTTCTTTTTGGTATCAGGAAAAAATTGAAACGGGAAAGAGATGTGGTTGTGAAGGAATTCGACCAACTACACCAGTTCGAGCAGGAGCAGAAGAGTCTCTTTCTGGACCAGCTGAAAGAGCTGCAGAAGGAGGTGGAGGATGAACAGAAGTCCAAGGCCGAGAATGCTGATCGTCTGAGTACTCTGGTTAGAGACATGGAGAAGATATGCCAGCAGTCAGACAATGAATTCCTGCAGGTGAAAACTTAGAAATTGGCTGCTAAATGATCTAGGACCAAATCTCAGAATGATCTAGGACTCAGAATGATCTAGGACCAAATCTAGGAGAATCTAGGACCAAATCTCAGCATTTCTAATTTTGTTGTGTAGGCATGAATTCACACCCTCCTTGTTTTTTTACTGTTTTGGTAGTAAAAGGCTACCAATATCTTCTGAGTGAGATGGAAGGTTGGTGGGCTCCAGCCCTTTGCAGCCAGCTTTCTGTGCCATACTTTCACCCAAGTCCTCTTCATTCCAACTTCCCTATCCCCCACCCTTCCCCTGGAAGTACTGCACTGGCTCTCCCTCCCTCAGGTCCTTGGCTTTCTGCTCTCCAATGTCCCACTGACCTTTCTTCCTTCCCAGCCTCTGTCTCTCTGCTAGTTGTGTGTCTGTTGAGCTGCCCCCCACCCCCCAATGTGGACTCTGTTGTAGGCTGCAGCTGCTTGGAGCAGTGTTTGCTGTTTTGTTTTTAATTAGATTGCAAAAAGAAGAAGTAGTAGTTGAGATGCTCTCAGTGTTGTTCCTTAGCAAATAAGCCTTTCATAGAAAAATAAAATTATTACATTAAAGAAAAACAAGTGTAGTAAAAACTAGCAGGGTTAAGAAAGCCTTTTCTTTTCCTTTGTTTTCCTACTGTAACGCCAATATAATGTGTTTCTTTAGACCAAGCATAGGCTGCCTTTTTGAAAGCCAGACAAGTGCCAGACAAAAATGCTGCCTTGAGCCAAGAGGAATGGCAGGGTATTAGTATTTTCATAAATAGTAATAATTGAACATTTACTCCCTGACCTGGATAGCCCAGGCATGCCTGATCTCGTCAGATTTCAGGACCTAAGCAGGGCCGACCCTGGCAACTACTGGGATGGGAGACCTCTAAGGAATACCAGGGCCAGGACGCAGATACAGGTAATGGCAAGCCACCTCTCTGAATGTCCAAGCCCCACTAGAGGTCACCAGAAGTCAACTATGAGTTTCAGGAGATGATGTAGGTTTGTGAACAAATAAAAGCGGGGAGGGGGATATGAGGATTGTGTTTGGCTCATCACATTGCAGAGGTTGCATAGAGCTTTCTTTGTTTGATTTGCATGAGAGTAAGGGACTAAAATAAGGCTGGTTTTGAAATAGCAGTATGAACTATCAGTGGTTTTGTTTTTGCTGTGTGCACTTTGGGGTGTAATTGTAACTGATCACAAGAATTCCTGCATATTGTCCGGTCCTAAAAGAGTACCCTATGGTTAGGGTCTTAATGGGGCCTGGGGGCATGACTGAGAGAGCTTACACTCAGACTTTTATACTCAGAACTGCCACGCTCCAAATTCTAGCTGTAAAACAACTGTAAAACAGGATCTTGCTGTTCTTCCTGTCAGACAGGATTTGAGTCCATCCCAGCTTGACTACACCTCTGATTTTGGTGTGGATTAAGGATCAAAATAGTTTGGCGTGTATACTTGGAGCCGCCTACCTCTGGTATAGATACTTATGCAACTTGCACCTCTTCTGTGCCCCTCAACACATCAGCCTCAGATCTAAACCTGTTAACTGTGACTTGCTTGGGAATTACATGTTTGGCCATTATTTGCTCCACTGTTGTGGAATGAGCTCCCACTTGAGATCCTCCTCTCTCTTTGCTTTTGGCCTTTAGAAGGGTAGATAAGGGCCCAACTAGATGTTACAGTGTCCACAGGTCTGACTCGTGGATGCTGATGCCATTTTGGAGCTGAACTTGGCCATTCAAAAATGCTGTGAGGGCCCAATTCTGATTGTACCTGTAGCACAGTAGAACCTGTTTCAGCATTTGAAAATATAGGTGTTGGGGAAAACAAGACTTCCTGGCTCCTCTGCACTGCAGGCTCAATCAGGTTCCTGGTGCACTGCAGGCCATCAGGCCCTCCCAGCATTTTTAAATGGCCCAAGTTAAGCTCTAAAATGGCATCAAGTGTCTGTAGGTCAGACCTGTGGATGCTGTGACATCTAGTTGGGCCCAAAGATATTTCTGTCTCAGAGAGCATGCTTGTGAGATTCTTGTACATATGAGGGCTGCTGTTTATGTTTGTGATGTGATGAGTTTTGTGGAAGACGCTTGTAATTTATTATAATTATTATTAAATTTGATTTTTTTTGACTGCCCTCCCCCGTAAGATAGGGCTCAGGGCAGTGTACATCAGAAAAATCTTACACAAACTTTACCCATCTTAAACACCTATAAATACTTTAAAGATTTAAATAAAATAGTAGGGAAATTTAATACAACCATAAATTACCAATCAGATAGCGATGGATGCCACTCCCGGAGGAGAGGGCAGGAGAAGCAGGCGTGACAGCCAGATGGAAAACCAGCCATCGCTGTCCTCAACCAAATGCCTGGTGGAACATATCTGCCTTACGTGCCCTGAAGAACTGCATTAAATGAAATATCGTTAGGTACCTTGGCCTCTTAGGGGGAAACGTGAGTTATTAATAACTTTACCTATTAGATTTTAGAACATGTCAAATAAGAGTAGCCCTAAAAACATCTATGTATCATTGACTGTTCAATAATTATGCTAACTATTTCTCCCCCATATCCACCCCTTTCTTTCTTTCTAGGATATTAAAAGCACCTTGAGCAGGTATGTGGCTCCTTCAGCTACACCCTACCGGGAAATGACAGCAAGTGGATGGTGGATATTTGGGAGTAAGGGTCAGGGTTTAGATCCTCTGTGCTGAAGTAAGTCATGTGCAGAAGCAGCCTTAATGCGAGACAATGGATTTTGCCAGATTTCCTCTCCTGTTTTCAACTGCAGATTTAAAGAAATGAATGGAAGATGAGTGATTTCTTCATACCTACTCACTATATATAATGTGTGTTCTGAATGTTTAAAAATTGCTCGTGTCTGGAATGTAGAAGTTGAGCAAGAGCAGTTCAGAAACTTTTACCTACACAGAACGAACATTTTCCCTGAAATAACTGACTTGTCTCTCTGAGCAACCTGTCATGCTCTCAGTCACAGTTTTTGTTTAAGGGCAACTAAAGTGATCTTCAAACATTAGCAGAACTAGGCAAGTGAAATGACTGGAGTTTACCGTACCGCGAATGGAAAGGGTGAAGGCATTCACTGCCATTTCTTTTTTAAAACCAGATATTTACTTATTCTAAAAACAAAGTTCTTTATATTTAAAAGCTTGTTTCTTTTCCTTAAAAAACTCTTAGATGACATGAGTCAGTTCTCTGGCTAGGGAAGTGTACCTACTGACCTCGCCTGGCTATGCCGCTTCCCTGTTAGCTTTTGGATTATAGCCCCGGTTTTAGTCAATTAATTGCTTTGGAGTTTTTCCCTCCTGTGCGGGCTACCCAGTTCCCTGTAATGAGCTGTCCCCTGTTATGGTTTTGATCTCTGGGATTTTTGCTTAACTGTTCTGTTTTCTTATTTATCACATTTAAGAAAAATGTAAGCAAAGAGCTCAGGGCAGGTGAACACGGTTCTCCCACCTTCCCTTGAATTTCAAAGTTATTTTGCACCAGTCATGCCCTAGCCACTGCAGAGGGACGCTGATCTTCTTCAGGAGGTTAACATTCAGCATGCAAGGCAGGGGTAGAAGAGTCTGAGTAAGAACAGAAAAGGAGAAGTACAGCTGGGAGGTAATCATGTTCAGGAAGAAGAGTTGGTCTTTATACCCCGCCTTTCTCTAACCTAAGGAGTCTCAAAGTGGCTTATGAACACCTTCCCTTCTCCTCCCCAAACCAGGCCCCTTGTGAGGCAGGTGGGGCTGAGAGAGTTTGGAGACAACTGTGACTGGCCCAAACTCACCCAAGAGGCTTCATGTGGCGGAGGAGAGGGGAATCAAACCCGGTTCTCCAGATTAGAAGCCGCCACTCTTTAACCACTACACCAAACTGCATCCCCCCAGTGAGATTATTCAGGAGGTTCAAAGGCGAAAAGAAGCACCTTGACCCAAATAAGGAGAAGGGGGGCTATTCCAGATATGCTGCCTTGGTATTTGCGTGTGTGTGGAGAACAGGTTGTGGGGCGGCTCCCACACAGCCACCAAGCAGAACCCTACTCCTGCCCTGCTGCTGCCTGACATTGGGCTCCACTGCAGCCAAGCATTCTGCCTGAAGCAGAAGCTCTTCCATGGCAGCCTGCCATGCATCGGAGGCCACTGTAAGCAAAGGTGGAGTGAAACAGAACTTGGGGTCCAAGGAGGAGTGTGGAAAGGCTCCGCTGTGGCACAACAGCGCTAGGAGAAAGAGGGTTCTATCCTCACTGTGCACACAACGTAGAGGTAGGGGGAACAGGATTGCACTCATTAGTCATGGTATGGCACAGGAGGTCAGAGAAGGAGAAGAATGAGGGGGAGATGGCAGCTTCTAGGAGGTGGAATTGGGCAGAATGGAGAGGAAAGGGAGGTGAACAATAAGATGGGGAAGGGTCACTTAGATATGTTTTCCACTGACATTTACCTTTTTTGAATCAATGTTGGATTATAAATACTCATGAGAATCTTCCCAGAACAACTATTGAAAGTACTACGGGGATATGGTGAAGTGGCAGGTCTCAAGGTAAATCAAAATAAAACAAAAATCATATTTAAAAACTGCGACGAAAAAAAGAAGAGAAAACTACAGGAAATGTCAGGTTTTGAAATATGTAAAAAAGTTAAATATTTGGGAATCTTTTTAACTAATAGATGTTGTTCTTTATTTAACGACAATTACCAAAAATTATTGTTAGAAATAAAGAAGGACTTAGATAGATGGAAACCATTGCAATTATCACTGTTCAGCAGAATTGCAACGGTAAAAATGAATGTTCTCCCTCGTATTTTATATCTTTTCCAAACAATTCCTATTTTAAGGAATCAATTTTTTTTAGAGAACTACAATCCTTAAAGAGGATATTATAGCTTTGGAAAAAGTGCAGA